CCTTTGTTCCTAGTAGCTTCTTGCTCCTAGTAGTATGGCCAGGAGCCTCTAGTAACGTCCTTGCTCCTAGTAGCGGTTCTCTTTCTTCCTAGTAGCTTCTTGCTCCTAGTAGTAAGGCCAGGAGCCCCTAGTAGCTTCCTTGCTCCTAGTAGCGATGCCCTTTGTTCCTAGAAGCTTCTTGCTCCTAATAGTAAGGCCAGGAGCCCCTAGTAGCGTCCTTGCTCCTAGTGGTTCTTTTTCCCCATCCGTCGACCTGTGGACCGACCCGTCTCAACGCAACTTCTGAGTTTCCCAACTTCTGAGGCTTTCGACGCACCTCATACAGCATAGCCTGCGCGACGAACGTGTGACAGGCACTGAGGAGTGGCGCCGGGACGCCCTTGCATTTTCCATTGCATGTCTGTTGGGGATCTCAGATGTGGAGGGGCTTAATGAACCCTTCCTATGAAGTCGTTGTACTCATGCTGTTGGTATGGCGTTGAAGGAGCACTACAAGGCAAAATCGCCACACCCGTGCCACTGCATGTGGTGAAAAGCGCATGGCACCCCACTTTTTGCATCCAGAAAGGCACATTTGCGTCGTTTGGAGAATTTTGTGACCCCCCGTTCGTAGCCTTCTTGTTAGTAAGGCCAGGAGCCCCGTTCGTAGCGAACATTGCTCCCTTTTGGAGAAAACTCTCGACATCGGACTCTCTGTGGCAGGCTCCCGCGGCTCCCGCCTGAGCTCCAGAGAAGCCGTTGATCTTGTTGATGACCTGCAAGCTCAACGCCACAAGCACTACGTGCCATGCCACACCATAAGCTCAACGCCATGCCGTCATGCCTCCCGCAGTCTGCGTTCAACTTTGATTTTGACATTCAAAAATGATGCTACATTGCTGAGGGTTCAGGCTTGCTCTAGCGAGCTACTTGCTATCTACTCAGATAGTCTTGGAACCTAAGCGAAAATGTGCAACTAGTCTCACCTTGCACAACCTGTCAGGACTTGGGAAGATCTTCCATTGTCATTGTGCCACTCCAAAAAGCTCTACAAATAAGAAGCTACTAGGCTACCAGTAACAAGTGCACCGCTACTAGGAACACGTGCCTTACTAGTAGTAACAAGAAGCTATTAGAAACAAGAACGCTACTGAGGTTACAATATGTCTCAAATATCTGGCTCTGATTCGATCGCATATGTCTGCGGCATCGAGCGCTCGCCGTCTCACGGTCAACTGGGCATCCCCACGTCGCCCGGTTGTACGGAGAAGCTCGTCTGATAGCCGTGCAACTCAAAGGTCTCCTCAGATATCGAAAAAGTTGTGACAGTGTTTAACCTAATAGCAATGGCCTCCCTCAAGGTTCAGAATGATGGCAACATTGGGATCCCAGAAACCCTTGAGTGTGTGCTCATGATTCTGCACATCGAAGCCATGTTATGCTTTGTTGTTGTGAAGTCCCCAGAGTGAATGAAAAGTCTTTAGCAAGAACTTGCCAAACGAAGGAATCCCAAAAAGCTCAGCTCTGCTAAGGTCCTTTGCAGTTGGAACCTTATCCTCTCCAACCCTGTGGACCGCCCGGCTAGCCTCGCCTGCTTCTGATTCCACAGATCCGCAGAGGAGCCAGGGATGATCTAGGACGAATCGGATCGGTCAAGGCGCTAAGACCGACAAGTCAGACATCGGTTCCATGTGTGGCACAAGGACGCTACGTTCGGGGCTCCTGGCATCGCTACTAGGAGCAAGGAAGCTACTAAGGGCTCCTGGCCGTACTACAAGGAACAAGAAGCTACTAGGAGCAAAGGGCATCGCTACTAGGAGCAAGGAGGCTACTCGGGGTATCCCCGACACAGTTCTGCCATGCTCTGCCATGCTCCGCCCGCCTGGCCTTCTCAACTTGCAGGAGTCTCATGGATGAGTCCGCGGGCACCAAAACCAATCCATCATGGCCTTCTACGCACACCTCGTCGGCCGGTGACCAGTCAAGCGGTTCCAGAGGACATTGGTCTGACCATGGCGTTTTGGTTGAGGATCAAGTTTTCCTTTCACTTCCATCGTCTTCTACCAAAGTGCTAGTCACAGTTGCGTGCCTTTGGCGAACTCTGAAAGAAAGAGGAGACCAACAGTTGTGGTCTGCAAGTTACAATGGCCATCCCAGTTTAGACTGTGGGTGGACACTTGGTCGTTACTGAGGAACAACTACATCTTACTTCTTGCAAGACATCTTCATCTTAGGAGCAAGGACGCTACTAGGGGCTCCTGGCATCGCTACTAGGAGCAAGGACGCTACTGGGATCCCATCTCCTTCGGTGTTTCACACATCACCAGCTTTCCTAAGCCTCACGCGTCCATGCGGAGCCATCGTTCGTTACTCAGCAAGTCGCGAGGCCCAGGACCTGAGCAGCCGGGGAGCGAACGAAGGAGCGCAGTAGCGAACGAAGCTACGAGTAGCTGCTATCTTTTCTATTTTAGCCCGCTCGCTCTCCCTCCCTACATAGTAGGCGCCTACTTAACTAAGTAAGGGAGAGGTAGCTACTACCTGCACGTAGCTACTACGCATGGACGCAGGATAGCTCACGCTGGCACTGATGATTTGGTTCCTAGATTTTTAGGGAAACTTAACAAGTCACAAGAAGCTACTATGGGCTCCTGGCATCGCTACTAGGAGCAAGGACGCTACTAGGGGCTCCTGGCCTTACTACTAGGAACAAGAAGCTACTAGGAGCAAAGGAGACCTAATAGCTAGAAGTTACGAACAAACGGCATTTGGAAGGGCCTCGCAGGAGTCACAAGGACGAGGGAACCGTTGCAGGGCCACTTTCCAGGCCACTAACGAGTGGTCGGGTGATGTCGTGTAGAGAAAAGAGCTCCCGAAATGTGTTGTACAAACTTCCTAGCTACTAGTAGAAATGCCCTTGTTACTAGTAGCTTCTTGTTACTAGTAGTAAGGCCAGGAGCCCCAAGTAGCGTCCTTGCCCCTAGTAGCGATGCCAGGAGCCCCTAGTAGCTTCTTGCTACTAGTAGCGATGGCCTCCAACCTACTAGTTTCTTGTTACAAACTTCCGGAGTGAGGGTGCGGACACCCCCCCCTCAAGCCGGACTGTTTGGTGCAAGACAAAGGCCTGAGGATTCCAATCTTACAATTGGGAATGGAGTGGCACATCCTCACACTTGCCAACTTGCTATCCTTGCTATCCTATCCCATGGACTCCTGCATCCATGCAAATATTAAAAATTCCCAATTAGAAGCAAGAAGCTACTAGTAGCTCCTGGCCTTACTACTAGCAACAAGAAGCTACTAGTAGCTCCTGGCCATGTTCTCAGCTGTGGCCACCAAGGGGCGGAGCGTGACAGGTACGGAGGCACCAGGCACCATCTGTGGCCGAAAAAGGGCGAAGACTCTGACAGAATCTGCATCTCACTTGTTACCCAATAGCGTGGCACTTGTTTCTAATAGCTTCTTGTTACTACTAGTAAGGCACTTGTTACTAGTAGCTAGTAATGCCCTTTGCACTGCCCTTTGCTACTAGTAGCCTCTTGCTACTAATAGTAATGCCGCAATGCCCTTGTTACTAGTACCGATGCCCTTGTTACCAGTAGCTTCTAGCTCTTTACTTGGACAACACCCTCATTCAGCAAAAGCTTTCTGGAATGTCCGGAAACTAATTCACCGTCGATCACCAGCAATATATATATATATATTACTTGGGACTCTCTCCAAGAATGGTGGCACCTCAGTGTCGATCAAGGGCAACCCTCAGGACTCAAAACTCTTTCTCGTTCCAAAACCACAAACTCGATTTGCTCACATGGCCAACGACGAATGCATATCTCATTCCTGGCATTCCTCATCTGATACAAATGACTGTCAGCAAAAACACGGCAACGGTTACCGTGGTTTCGTTGTGACTCTGCCCTCTGCGGCGCCTTTCGTGGGCATGCAAACCGTGGGCGTTGCTTCCAATCATCATCCTCTGGGTCCTGCCGGATGAATCCATCCGGATGAAGCCTTGGTTCCTAGTAGCGATGCCCTTTGTTCCTAGTAGCTTCTTGTTGTTAGTAATGGCCTCCACCCTAGTAGCGATGGCCTCTAACCTACACGCCAAAACCGTAGCAGTGCTATCGGATTTCCGTGACTTTACAATGTACTTTACAACCAGCTTCTGAAATGGTCAACAGCACACGGCCTTTTCTTTGACAGCTCACCATTGGAGATGTCCAAGAAATACCAGGCACTGTCTTCTATGTTCCACACCGACACCGAACAATCGACTTGCGTGATTTGCTCTGTAAACTGGTCAACCCAAGTGAATTGACTAAGTGCATCAGGTGCATCGAAGAATCAGATGCAGCTGGGTCATCCCTAAAGTTAAAGTAAGGCGACAAAAAGCAAAAAAAAACATCACCAAGCACCGAAGAAAAGAGCAACGAAGAGCACCGAAGAGCACCGAAGAGCACCGAGCCCTGAAGGACTTGAAGGACTTTTGGTTCCTAGCAGCAAGAATGCTACTAGTAGTAATGCCAGGAGCTACTAATGGCGTCCTTGCTCCTAGTAGCGATGCCCTTGTTACTAGGAAACATCTAACTGACGAGCAACACTGCACTGCACCCGCCACCCGCAGTCCAATCCCAGCACCGCATCGCTGACTTTGGCGGAGGGCGCAATGGACACAGACCTGCGATGAGACTAGGGGCTTTGCAGGAACCAAATGAGTCGGTTCATGGCAATTGTGTATAGCTATCCTTTCAGCCTAGTGGAGTGTCTTGATCAAGGAGTGGAGTGCTTTGTGGGGAGAGTTACTAGAGACTGTACAATGGATTCTAATTACTCTTAAATTTATTTAAATTCTATATATTGTTTCTACTAGCTTCTTGCTCCTAGTAGTAAGGCCAGGAGCCCCTAGTAGCGTCCTTGCTCCTAGTAGCGTGGATTTCACCTGGACCATCCTGGACCCGAGAATTTCGAAGACTCCAAACATCGCCTGGAGAGTTCTGAGAAGGCTGACCATCCCTGGTCGGTCAGCATCGCAATGCCTCAGACTTTCAGCGTGGATTGTTCCTTCTAGTAACTACAAGCTTCCTTGGGAATCGTTTCGGAAATCGGAATCGTTTCACCTGTAACAAGAAGCTAGTAGTAACAGGTGCCACGCTAGTAGTAACAGGTGCCTTACTAGTAGAAACAAGAAGCTTTGTTGATCTTTTTTGTATGTCTTTGATCGCTAATCTGGTTGCCCGGACCAGGTGAACCGATCAGCTGCCGAAGGGAGGCGCCCTACGGGTCAAGGTTTCGTGAGGAAATGAGGCCGCAGCAAGCTGCATACGGCCGCGCATGCGAGAGGCCATCCGACCTGGCAGAGCCATCAGTCAATCAGTGAACAATTCGCTACTAGGAGCAAAGGGCATCGCTACTAGGAACAAGGACGCAACTAGGGGCTCCTGGCCATACTACTAGGAGCAAGGCGCTACTATCAGTGAACAATTTGCTTGAAAATCTCCCTAACAACCTACTAGCGGCCTCCACCCTACTAGCGACGGTCTTCAACCTACTAGGCGATGGCCTCCACCTAATAGCGTGCAAAGACCAAGGGAGAAGTTTCTAGTGAGAGGATGCGAGGATGCTTGTTGTGCACCCCAAAAAGACAGTAGCCTCTTTGGAAGGGATCTTCTGCATGAAGGACAGTCTAACAACGTTTGATGAAAAAAAGACAGCAATGCACACTATTAGGTGGAGGCCCTCGCAATAAAGCTGAGGCCATCGCTCTTAGTTTGCAGGCCATTGGTACTAGGTTGGAGGCCATCGCTCTTGGAGGCCATCCCTAGTAGATTGGAGGTCATGGCTAGTAGGTTGGAGGCCATCACTAGTAGGTTGGAGGCCATCGCTCTTAGTTTGGAGGCCATTGCTACTAGGTTGGAGGCGATCGCCAGTAGATTGGAGCTCATGACTAGTAGGTTGGAGGCCATCACGAGTAGGTTGGAGGCCATCACTCTTAGTTTGGAGGCCATTGCTACTAGGTTGGAGGCGATCGCTAGTAGATTGGAGGTCATGGCTAGTAGGTTGGAGGCCATCACTAGTAGGTTGGAGGCCATCGCTCTTAGTTTGGAGGCCATTGCTACTAGGTTGGAGGTTGGAGGCCATCGCTCCTAGTTTGGAGGCCATTGCTACTAGGTTGGAGGTTGGAGGCCATCGCTCTTAGTTTGGAGGCCATTGCTACTAGGTTGGAGGCCGTCGCTCTTAGCAAATTGTTCACTGATATGGGCTCTGTTTCACCACTCTCCCACCCTGACCTCGCAAGAAAGCCCCGCACATCGACTCCAGGCCGAGCCACACATAGATGGTACACAGCTCGGGCTTGGCGACAGCCACGTCTGAGCCCTCCAAGGTCAAGGATCTGGCTACGAAGGTGGCGCCATCAACAATGAACCTGGCAAAACGAGCTCTCCACACATTCACCACATTGTACGAACCGCGATAGGCTGTGTAATCCATGACAATCCAGAGATATGTTGCTTATTGGCGGGCCGAATGGCTCATGACTGAAGACACACATCCCACCCAAAAACAATTCTTTAGCTTTGCGATGCTTTGCGGAAGCCACAGCTGAGCACTGAGAGTAGCTGCTTGTTGGCATTAAAAGAAGGGCTGCACATGGCATGAGTGATAAGAGTCGGGGAATGTTGTCCTGGAAAGCTTGGGCATTGTTGCTGCTAGAATGGAACTGCTAGAACCATTGCTAGCTGAATTGGAGCTGAACAGACGAAAGTTCACCACTAGTAGGTGAGCCTTTTGTATCTTTTGTGGACTTGGACTTGCTGCAAGTCACTTGGCAGGTAATCTGCTGCGTTCCTACCACCAAGCTAGTGAACTCCGAAGAAAAGGCTTGAAGTGTTGTTGTTTCTTCTAGGTGATTTTGTTCTGCGGGTACTTGGTAGATGTTGGCAGTTTGTGCATCGATCACAGTTCACACAATAAGGTACACCTTACAAGAATCTTTGCCTGGCCACTGCTCTTTCCGGCTTCACTCGGGCATTTGTCCCGAAATTGGTTCAATTTTGGTGCCCGTTTACTTGCCTTGAGTGGGTGCGTTCGCCTTTCCGGCTAGATGTCCGTGACTTAACTGAAAAGAGAAAAACAAAAACTCCGATGCCATGCCCGGGTCATGCCCCTCCAATCAAACTCCGATGCCGGCGTGGCCAAATGTCATGATCCATGTCACAGATCGCCACCGACCAGCCCCAGACCTGGACCATCAGATGGGAGATGGATCAAAGCTTGGTACCATCGGATAATCAAACCTACATACGGAGCTCCTACTCGTTTGGGTGTCGCAGTTTGTCAGGAGTCGGTCCAGATGTTTTTTCCAATCAACCAATGAGTCCAACAAGCCGGTTGTGTTACAGTAAAGCTTGGTTCCTTGTGATGTAGTAAAAACTAACATGGACGGAAGGAAAACTGGTTTGTAGAGGAAGGACAACTGTCTTTCAGCTTTGGAAGAACAGAAAACGAGATCCTAGGAACAGGTGCCTTACTAGTAGTAACAGGTGCCTTACTAGTAGTAACAAGAAGCTACTAGGGGCTCTGGCCTTACTACTAGGAACAAGAATCTACTAGGGGCTCCTGGCATCACTACCAGGAGCAAGGACGCCACTAGGATCGGAGTTGGTCAAATGCCAAGAATCAGCACCTCTGCTACCAGTTGGTCAATTTACAGGCTTACCTGTCAGCAGTCACTCAGCCTCTATGTATGTCACCCACCGGCCATCCGTGTCCTCCGAATCCAGACACGACCGTGACGACCGTGTGCTGCGCCCAGCCATCTGCACCTGTTTGTAGGGCTCCAGGGCTGCTGGATGATCCCAAGAGATCACTAAGGCGGACTGCGTGTCCCAAACCTGGCAACGAAGGCGACTCAGGCGACCATTTATATAATTTCTTCTAATAGGTTGGAGGCCATCGCTAGTAGGTGTCCTTTCATTCTCTTCCGATCGCTTCTTGCTCATCGGCTCATGAGCATCTGAATCTAGGCTTTGGTCTCAGGCACCTTTTGTTCGGCGTGGTCCTACTCCTGCTGGTGGTTGGCGTTGGAGCCGGTCTTCAAGGAAAAAGAACATCTAGGACATTTTTCAACCTTCGGTAAAGTGTCTCTAAAGCACAACAAGGGTGGTCTCAAACCAAGCGCAATGCACAAAACCTGAGGTTGGAGAAAAAGAAAGGATGGCAGGAGTCGCCACGAGTTATAGCAGCCAGTAACCTTCGCTTTCTTCGCTTTGCCTCACCTTCTTCTCCTCAGGTTAACACCTCGCATCCCTCAGCAGTGATTAGAACGGTGTGTTCGAACTGCGCTGCTCGTCCAGCATCCTCCGTGGCCACCGTCCAGCCATCGTCCCAGGTGATCCACTCCGCCGAACCTTCCGTCAGAACCTGGGTTGATCGATGTGTTTTGAAGCAAAGACTCTGTCGTGTCGGTGAGACAACTGACAAATCCAAAGGAACCCCCAAAAAGGGCATTCATGAAACTGTACAAAGTCCTGCACCGATTTCATGAGATGGATATTTATCTAAGGACCAATCTCCACAGTTGTCCATCAACAGACCATCCAAGAGGCCGGCTCGATGGTGAAGGTCGTGCCTTCTTGCATCTTCCGGTTGTCGCTATTGCGACAGTGAAAAATCTGAGGAACTCCTCAGGCACGCATGAGAGATGTTGGAAAGACCCATCATGAAAGACTCATCAAGAGGGTTGGAAGGGGGCCTGAGACTCTTCTTCGTTTGGATCAGGTCTGTGTTGTCTTAGTGGCTTCGTGGCATCTTTTCAGAACTCACCGCCGGGGACAGAACTCGACTTTCGAGATTGGATGCATGGAGTACGTCGCCTGGAAAAGAAATGCCATAAATTAGGGCATCCCAAATTTACGGAGCTTGAACTGGAAACTTCGTATTCTCTAGTCCCTGTTTGGATCAAAAGGCGCTAGAAGACACCACCTGGAACCGTGCCGTTGAACACTCTCAAAATGCGAAAGCTCATCCAGATTTAGATAAAATGGTCCGCACAACTATATAGTTGCTAAGGCGGTAGCGATAGTTAGGAGCCCCGAACGTAGCGTCCTTGCTCCTAGTAGCGAGGCCAGGAGCCCCTAGTAGCGTCCTTGTTACTACTAGTAAGGCACTTGTTACTAGTAGCGAGGCACTTGTTTCTAGTAGCGTCCTTGCTAGCCAAAGGCTCCATGGAAAAACTCACCGATGCCATGTCCCACCAGGGTCTTGACGATTCCGAACTTCTCCCGCTCCGCCACGGTGGCCACCGCCGTGCCGATCGCCTTCAAGGGAGTTCCGGCCGCGCACACGGCCACCGCCGCATCCAAGGCTTCACCTCGCAAAGAACTTGTCCGGTGTGTTGGTCTCTACAAAAAGACAGAAGAAACAAAGAACAAACAAACAAAAACAATGTTCTGGCTCATTCCAATTGCTAGAAGCCCATTAAGTTGTTAGCCTTTCATTCACCACGATTCGTCTCACTTCAAATACGGTCCCTCAACTTGGAGGTTCCCATAAACGATCTTCGCGTGAGTCCATTGATTTAATTGTGGATGGTCTACAAGATTTAAGATCTCCGTTGCAAGTCGGCAAGTCGGCAGAACGCCAATATCCAATTCCACCACCAAGTCACGTGTGGCTGAGACCAAGCGCTGCCCAGTTTCATCGCCCTGCCCGCACATCCAGCTGCGAGCTGTATCTGCGTGGAAGCCTCCAAGGTATAAAGTCACATCCACCTGAGAATGATCTGGAAGAAAGAACCAGAAGCTACTAGTAACAAGGGCATCGCTACTAGTAACAAAGGGCATTACTACTAGTAGCATTCTTGCTATTGGTAACAAGAAGCAAGAAGAAAGAAGTGCCATGCTACTAGGAACAAGTGCATCGCTTCTAGTAACAAGTGCCTTACTAGTAGTAACAAGAAGCTATTAATCCAAATTTAAATTCCAATAGCTTTTTGTTACTACTAGTAAGGCACTTGTTACTACTAGCGTGGCACTTGTTACTACTAGGAACAAGAAGCAACAATTTCTATAGCGGAAGGGATTGGACCGTTCACATGCTACCAAGACAACTTCTGAAATCCACATGCCTTTGAGCTACACGTAAAAGTGGCGTCAAAAGGCATATTGGTGGTCAATCTAACAGCAAGCAAAGAAAAAAAAGGCAACATGATGTTAGTTCGGCATCTTCCAGTTCACATTCACTAGATCTCCATCTTCCAAAGGTCGCGTGTCAGGGATCCCATGGCATATGACCTCATTGATGCTGATCATCACGCTCTTGGGAAATCCTCGTGGCGTGCTCCGGCCACGTTTGGGCCAGAGGGTGGTTGGGCAACGTCTTGACTGCAACGCTAAAAATGATCGACGTCATTGAAATAGAAAGTAGATGTGTTCTTCCACGATCACTGCATCCAATTACAGAAGAAACTCCACATGAATTTCATGGCGCCCTGTGTCCCAATACACGCGAGCATGGGTCGCTTTGAGTCCTTGTTGTGTGCCACTCACTCCCTCGCTCACCCACTCACTCACTCACTCTCTGTTTCTCTCTCTCTCGCTCTCTGTGTCTCTCTCTCTCTCTCTCACTCTCTGTGTCTCTCTCTCTCTCTCCCTCTTTCACTCTCTGTTTTTTTTTTCTCTCTCTCTCTCTCTCTCGCTCTCTCTCTCTCTCTCTCTCACTCTCTGTTTCTCTTTGTTTCATTCGAAAGCTCTTGTGCTTTAGCTCTGACTAATCCACAAAGTGCTCTTGAGGTGAGACTCCTTTGTACTGCAGATCACTAGGATAAGCTCCATGGTCGCAGATGAAGGTGTGTAGTTCTTTGTCCATTTCCTCCGTGGTGAGGCCAGGACGGATTAGCTCTTCAGCCAGGTCCAATGCTGAATGCGCCAGCTTTCCAGCAGCTCGCATTGCTTCGATCTCTTCTTCACCTCAGTGGTTTGGCACCTCATAGAAAATGAACATATATTTTGTCCAATAGCGATGGCCTCCGACCTAAGAGCGATGGCCTCCAACCTAGAAGCGTCAGGTATGGTATGTTCCTCCCCGGAATGCAAAATGTTTTTTTTTGAAGATGGGTACAGAGGCCGCAGCCGACTCGAAAGCAGGCAACTTGTTCGGTAAATGGGCAGCCCAAGGCACTCTTCGGGACGATCTGCGCATTCCACCAGCCGCGGACCTTCTCGGGATCCGCCACGTAGGGCGGTGCCTGGATGCTTTCAGGCACCAGCTGTGCCGGCAGCACCTGGCCCTTCTGCACCGGCGCACGCGCAGCGCACGCGCTTCGGGTGATCCCTCTCCTGAGACCAAAACCAAAGATTTCACAATGAGGAACTGAGAAAGAAAGGTCAAAAACATCGCTAAAACTTTTTGCCAGAAACAAGGTCAAGGCTGCCGAGCGTCTCTCTTCTACGCGTGGCCACAGCGGCGATCCCCGTCACCAGCAACGGTGTCGCCACTCTGGCCGTGATAGCCTTCAGATCAAGCTCATTATTTAAAAAGAAAAAACAACAATAAAGGGAATGGCCTCCAACCTACCAGCGATGGCCTCCACCGTCCACGCAAGGGACGAGCGCACAACACATGGCGCAGGCGTTCGGGACAAGGGTGGCAAAGGGAAGGTGCTGCGCCATGGCGAAGCGACGAGCTCCATGCTTCAAAAAGCTCCTAGTAGCGTCTTTGCTCCTAGTAGCATCCTTGCCCCTCTGCTTCAGAAGAAATACCCTCCTTAGACTTTAGATCATCAAAGAACCATTCAAATTGTCACACAGTTCTTGCTCCTGGTCCGTTCAGCCTCGTCGGTTTATGTGCCTTTGTTTGTGAAACTGTGGTGAAGCCTTGTTTGGTAAGTCCACTCATACATGTCCAAAGGGAGCTATGGGAAAAGCTGTGCAAGCTCTGTTCATGGCGGGTAGTGTTCATGACATGAATGTCTCACCAGGTGGTCAACCAATACCTGATTGAATATGACTGAATTAGGCCTTCATCCAAATGCTGGACAAAAGAGAAGCGCGCGTGCATCTTCCAGGGCCGTATTGGAAAGAAACTCCTCTGATCCTAATAGCGATGACCTCCACCCTAGTAGCAATGGCCTTTATCCTAAGAGCGATGGCCTCTAACCTAAGGGCGATGACAAATAAGCATCGTCATCAACTCCCAGCCTCTAGGCGCGGTCTCATCAGTGGTGCGGGCCGGCCCACAGGGCGCATGAACCTGAGCAAGTGGAGTTCGCTAGTGGGTTTGTACTCATGGTGACGGTGACAAATTGCCACACTTCAAAACCAAACAAAAGCAGACTTCGAGTGAATTCGGTGAAGACATGACGAACTAGCCGCTAGCCGATTCCAGGCAATTAACATCAAACCTCTAGAAAAACACTTGATTTGGATGGAGAACTGAACAAGTCTTTGCTGAGCCCACCAGAAAATTGAGGAAAAAATGCATCTGTTTGCTTCACTACTAGGCACTCAGGCTCCCCGACTCCAACACCAGGCGCCGCTCCTGCTGAGTGGCCAACTCCGGTGACTCTAAGAAGGGCGCCTGTCAACGTGCGCCGGGCGATCAGCTGATATTTGGCCGTCATGAGACCTGACGGATTCTGCCCAACCAAAAACATATTGATCTAGAAACAAGAAGCTACTAGTAACAAGTGCATCGCTTCTAGTAACAAGTGCCTTACTACTAGGAACAAGAAGCTATTAGAAACAAGCTTACTAGTAGAAACTTTTCACTACTCTAATCGTCATCGACCCACCATCTCGATCTCTTGCCTGCCCACTGTCGTTGAGGCAAACCTGCCCAGCAAAATCAGGGAGGGGAGCTGGTGTCGCCCAAGATATCAGAGAGCCTTTCATGCCATGTTGCCAGAAGCAACGGCAGCTGTGATTTAGTGGGCAGTGACTGGCTGCTTCCATCAACCTGCGGCTCTTCCTGGTTCTTTCCAGCGATCTGAAAACACACCTCA